GACAAATATCGCGTGTTTGTCCCTGATCCTTTGGAGCGTTAAGTGCATTCTAGCGGCAGCTCAGCTCAGCTCCGCTCCTTTCGTGTCTGGGAAAACAATGAAAAATTCATGCAAATGAAAAATAAATGCACACAAGCCAAAAAGGATAATGCAGCATGGAGCACCGCAGAGCAGAGCAACGAGAAAATAGAAACACATTTCATGTAATTTCGGACTCTGGTGCTTCGTTCACGTTCCACGCTCACCGTTTTTGTCTTGTCCTTCGACTCCTTTGTCTGCGGCACGAAATTTTAATAAATTATGCAAAAATTTCGTGGTTTTCGCGCTTTTCCCTTGGTCGTCCGTTTCTCCGCTTTCTGCTACATTTTACTTGCTGTTTTATTCAAATTTGTGTGCATTTTTTATTCGCTAAGAAAACAAAATTTAACACAGAAGGATTTGGTTATTTGAGCGATTGTGGCATGAATGATGAGTGGTGGAATGGAACAATCAACCCTTTGGGCAGATGCGACACAGCATCCAGCTGTATCCACTGATCCCTTTTTCTGAGCGATCCGCGATCTCCCCGACATCTCTTTGTCTAGCGATCAGGTAGGCATGACCCTGCTGCGTATGCAAATTAGTTTGATTAAATATTTAAATTAGGGTCCCTACCAGGGGACCTTTTCCGTGAAAGGCCAAAAACATTGACAGCTGCGTTTTCCCTTCTCGAATTCGTGGATCGTTTGCTTGAGTTTATTTCAGTTCACCTCTCGACCTCGAAGAGTGAGGACGGACCCAAACAGCAAAACGGGAGCATGACCATCTACTGCGTACACCTCCATTAAGTATGAGTATCTCAAAAATCGAGTGGCAAGCAGAGGCATTTTCATCTTATATGTACAATTTTAAATTTTTCACTGTTACACAGATAACTGTGTTTGGATCCGATCAATCGCATCGTCCTAACAAGAACGAAATTACTACCAGAACCTGACGGAACCAAGGCACGAGCGCTGGTCTACTCACGGTGGGGACTTTTCTTGGCTGCATTGCTTTTACTGAGTAGCAGACGCAATACAAATGATTATGTTTATACTATTAAAGTAATTTACTAAAAAATGACGCCCAGCCAAAACAAGATAATCCCAGTGAGCGCTACACTGGCTCTTCTCTGTTGCTGATCGTCAAAGCCAACCGCTTTAGCTGGAGGTTAAGTAGCTTGCTGTCTACTTAAGCATAATCGAAGTATGGTGCAACGATCTGGCGATCAGACGTCGAGTTTGATCTTCGGTCCATCGGAGGCTGCTCGCCCAGCTTTATCACAACATTTTGCCATGAAGATGGATTAGTGTGGTCAGTGCAAGCTGCTGATCATGGCACCATGATCGTTTTTCCGTTCGCCTACTCTGCTACTCTGCTGGTAGCCAAGGTGCGAGATCTGCAAATAATGTGGCAAGCTCAGTCGCAGCCGCAGTTGCAGCACCAGACACAGCCCGATCTTCATACCCAAGCTTGAGTTCCGCAAGGCCAATATGGGGGCCAACGTGTGCCGCTTGGCTGATCTCAAGCTCACCCCCCACCGTTCGTTAAGCGAAAACCGACGTCGCCTTCTCTGTGGCCTCTTGTGTACGGCTTTATTAACCCCTGCCGCTGATTTGGTGATAACGATCGTAATCGTAGCGGTACTCTAGGTGCAACACATGTTGCACTTGGCTCCCTACCCTCCAACCCACCAATGATGAAGCACGGAGCATGGTGTGCTATATTATTTTCCCTAATTTAGAAAATAGTTCTGGCAACTCAAATTAGTATGATTCACTGTTCGCATTTATCGTACGTTCGCCTTGTTAAAATCGGCTGTGCCTGCCTATCGTTTGCCCTGAAAAGCCAAATTGCAACCGAACCGTCGCGACGGGGGAAACATGTGTTTTAGCTCCTATATGGTTATGATTATGGGTTGGCTATAAGATCCGTAGTGGAAGGTATTTCCGCATAGCTGGGCCAAACATGATTCGACGGTTGTTACTAGCCCTTACAAAACGCAAACGTTCTTTATTGGTAAATGGCCAATTTTCGGTTGATGTGGATGTTCTTAGTGATCCGAAATGTAAGTTAAAGAAAAGTTCCTAGTGTACTAGATTGGTCCCTTGCTTGTCATAGTCTGCGATAGTGACTATATTCAGACAAATAAATAAAAATGTTTATTAAATCCATACTCATAAATATGCATGGGGAGTACAGGGAGCACATACTTACATATATATAGCAGCTGTTGCGGGGAGGGGAGGTAGAGTTCTTCTAATTAAACCAAAAGGGGTTCTGCCTCTCAGAATAAAAATCCAACAAAACGTTATACACATACATATGTACAGACTCGTACTCGTACAGAGTGAGTGAAATAAATGCTCTTCGAATACATTCATTCGCTTAACGAACAAATTAAGTACCATAAATATGCATGAGAAACCGAAACCCCTTTAGAAGAAATGAGTGCATATTTATACAATCCCGGGCCTCCATAACTCCCCCTGGTGAGAGTTGCAGCTGAAAGCTGTTTACATAGTTGCCGTGTCTAAGCAAATACGAAAGTTATTTAATGAGACTCGCTATATAGCCGGAAAAGGTTTACAATTAAGAGAGGAAAAAACGTTGTCTGTCTTCCTTCATTGGATGGCATTTTCATGTATTTGGCTTTGCGGTTCATTGATTAATATCAAACTGTTTATTAGGGGTAGAAAACATCCCCTGCCTAAGGACATGCTCGTACCTTTGGTTAACGATCCCAAGCCAAACTCTCGCTGTTTGTTTAATTGCGTTTTCTTCGAGTTTTTTGCATTTTATTGTTGATTTGTCATTCCCAGTTAGGTGTAGATACGTATTCGTATTTTCTGACAACGCGAGGGTGGATGGGTGTATCCCTCCTAAACTCACTTCACACAATTTTATCAATCGCCATACATCGTTCTTGAATCAATCCGAAGCCGTCCATCTATCGTTCTGCCAGAGTTGCTTCCATCAGCCAAATGATTTTAATTTTAGATTAGTTAAATGGAAATAAAACGACTATTCCCCATACTCGGATTCCAGCCGTTTCCCATCACACACTCACATCATCATCATCGACGTTGTCGTATTGACAGGCATGTCAATATGGCTTATTACGAGTATTATTTGGCTTGCATGGCTCTGCTTACTTAATTTAAAAGACACCCAACGATTATTGGTTTGAAATTGCTTAGAACACGCGAGTCGAGTGAGTTTTTGGCAGTTCTTTCTGCCAATGTTTTGTGTATTTATACGCTCGAGTAAATAGGTAGGCGTTTATCCAGAAAATATGTTTTTATATTGTTTGTTCATTGTAGACGGCGGTTGTTTTTACCTTTTAGGTAAAGGACGTAAAATATGGAATTGGGAGCACGTGTGAACCCTCAGCGTATAGGCACACAAGGCAGATTCAGGGGGACAGCCACTTAGCAACTCTTTCGGTGTCATATGTCCGCTGTCCAGTATATTTCAATGTCGTAGCAAACACAGGACCATTAATCTTCAAGCTCCAAGCAGAAGAACCACTGGGCTACATTCTCATTGGCCAGTCACATGCAATTTGGTGCTACTTGTTGCCGCTGCTTCTGCTGATGCCCCTGCTGATGCTGAAGGAGCCACGACCCACCGTCGACCAAGGCAACACCTTTGGAGCGTGATATCGCCTCACCTCTCATGGTGCGATTTGCATAGCGTTTAGCTTGCCACATCGGCGAGGCGTATTAATATATTTTAGTCATAAATGTACCGCGTTCCTTTCATGCCATGTTCGGTTTCACATCTCTTATCCAAGCCATTTGTGTTGCGGTAGTCTTCAGTAGCCGAGTCAGCTCAGAGTAGAGGCATCTCTTTTGGTTTCCCACGTGGACACGAAAAACTTTTTTATGCGCAACAAGTTTTTCAACAAAAATTCTCATCTGATAAATGATATGGCAAACAATTCCTGACTCGATATGCATAGACCCGTTGCTGGTGGTCATTAATAATCGCTATGGTAGAAATGGAAGCCAAGGAACGGAACGCCACCAGAGAACGTAGCTCTTGACACCACTTTGTTATTTTGGCTTTTGTTAGACTAAGACTATCTCATTTTAGTGGTATAACTACTGCTAAGTAATCGAAAGTAATCGAAGTACTTCATACACACCCAAATACCTTCAATAAGCGTACCGAGGAGCAAGCAACACCAAAAGCTTCCACACGCTACCACTTGCAAAGGGCTGGTGATGGATTATTGGTACGTGTTGCTGGACGAGTATCGAGGATGTATTATGGGACGCAGGACAGGCAGCAACAGAAACACACGAGACTCATTAATCCTGGAGGCAAACGGAGGCCAGGCACAGGATCAGGACCCTTACCCGCCGCCGCGCCATGACTCATTTGTGCTAAAAACTTTGCCACTTGATAAATTGCCCCAGCACCAGCACAACACACACACACCACTTATTGTCCCCCATCTTACCTCTTTGCTGGGGGAACGGAGTTGGTTAAGTTGGCTCTGGGCTCCCGCTCTAGGTTGCGAGATCGTACTGTTTTTTGCCTTCACATTTTTCGATAGATAAATACTTAACACGTTTTTGCCAGTGATTTAAATGCTTCTCTTCGCCCCTTCTTGTCAGCCCTTCAATCATTTGTGTGAGCGGCAACGACCTGAAGAGCTCTTCGCAAAGGTCTTTACACATCCCACTGGCATTTTGATATGCAAATACTTGCCGAAGGTTTCCCTCCTATTTTCCTCATTTGCTGCTTTCGTTCTTTGCACTGCGATGTCTGTTTGACGCGCACCGTCACCTCGCCGTCTATGTCACGTTATCTCAAATTTATTTTTGTTTGTTTTGAGCCTTTGTCACGTTTTTGTGTTGATTAATAAATGCGTTTAATACAATTTTGGAGGTACTGGTAGATGAAGTCAGAAAGTGCCTTCGGGCCTTAAATATGCGGTTAATATGCCGGATTCGAGAATAAATGTTTTCTTTAAAGTTTTTGTTTTTTCTCTCAAATTATGGTTGAAAATATATAAGAACGTTTTATCAATCAGTATCGCTATCGCTATTGGACTGTTCATTTTCATAGTCCAGACATTTAGCCGCCTCTGCATCCGAGTCACCCGATTCTGAGCCGGTTGACGAGGGTGAGCTGCTCCGTGAAGTTGGAGCTGAGGTTTTAGGGGATGAGGTTGCCGAAAGAGCATCGTAGTCTTCGTCGTCAGCATCTGAGTCCTGATCTTCGTAGCTATCGTACTCAATGGCAGTCTCATGCTCATCATCAGTTTCATCCTGATCCACCATCTCCTCCGTGGAGAATTCTTCCTCTGTGCCACTTGATTCTTCTCCAATACAAGTGTCTATTTCAGCTTCGACGAGGCCCTCAGGTCTGTCGTTAGTATGTTTCTCGATTGACCCACTCCCCTATCAAACAAGATTCGAGATTCAAAACTACTAGTTATCTTGGGACAGTTGGCGCCACTAATTTACCAATTCCATGCTTCGATTTCTGGACAGAGTCTGAACATCATGTAGCTGTTTCATCAACGCATTTCTTTCCATTGAGTGGTATTCGCGCTGGAGATGACACTCAGTCTGCAGCTCTCGGTTTTCCTTGCTCAGTTGGAACATTTCGCTCAAGATTCGATGCTGCTTGTCCACTATTATATTCACCAGCTGTTCTAGATTCTCAATTGTGACCTCATAGTCCATCAGCTTCTTCTTGAGGAGCCAATTCTCTGCACGACAGTCGGCTAGGTCTGAGGCCGACACTGTCATCTCCGAAGATTCCTTTTCCGCACTAAGAGATATCAAATGCATACAACATGGCTGAAAATCAAAGCAAAGCTCACTCTTGTATAATGTTCTCGGATGGGGTTTCCTCATCAGTTGCCAAAGGAAAGGCCACTTGATCCATGTTGCTGTCTAAGCCAGGCGCATAATATTGGCAAATGCAAGACATTTTTGGGTCAATTTTAGAGTCTGTAGCAATGTTGAAAAGAGGAGATCAGGTGACTAGATACTCGTAGAGTGTACCCAGCACTTGACAGACTTGGCAACGTTTGGACGCTGCTCCCGCCCCACTGCTGCCTCCAAAGTACACCATTAAATGAAAACTCACTGGCCAGATAAGGGATTGAAGACTTCCAGCTCCCCCAAAATGTACTCTATTTTTCAGACTAAGTCCCCAACTCCGCTGGGGTCCTGGCCTGTGAACACTTTACGACTTGACATTTTCACACTTTGTTGGCAACGAAAGCTTTGAACGCTTCCTACACATTCCTTCCTGCAAGCCAAGTCAACTGACTTTTGGCTGGTCCTTGTTGCCGCGTCAATTTGGACGTCCACATCGATGCAAGCCTGCACGGACTGTCTTCCGCCCGGGATCTGGGATGTGTAAATGTGTGGCTTCAGCTGCCGCGAAGGCAAAGAGGTGGAGCTGTGTAAGTCTTTTTTGTGTGTGAGTTGGTGGATTGAAGTGCAAAATTGGTTTAAGTGTTTGCTAAATTGGCAGCAAAATGGCTTTTTCAATTTATACTCAACGTTTATATGCGGGTAATGCTTCCACAAAGTTTTACCAGAAACTCAACATTTACTTTGTCCCCTCCTCAGCTTTTTTTTTGGCAACAAGTGGCGCCTAGCTGGGCAATTGATATTTTCCACTTTATTTTTAGTCTTTCATGGGACTTTCAGGGGAGCCTCTGGAAAGTAGCCCATAAATATTACGATACGAGACCTGGACATAAAGCACGCCCACTGCCCATTTCACACGCTTGGAATCGACACTAAATGGTGCTCCTCTCTAGAGTTCAGTTCTCCTTACACATACGAGTATGTATCATTGATAGCTGCGATAATCATGGCTTACACCCGAGCCATCTGTGCATCCGTGGCAATGCCCACATACTCGAATACTCGGACTCGTATTTTATGGCCCATTTGAAAATGCCTTAAACGGCTGCAGCAAACTCAGTTGAAGTCGAAAACAAAGGTAATCGTGATACCTAAACAACGCCAAATTACATACCAGAGGGCGCTACGCAGGCCATGTTAACATAAATTTCTTGCGCCTCCTCAGTTTGGCTACCACCCTGCCCCGGTCTGCCCCGGTCTGCCCCTGCCGGCCTTCCATGTTCCGAACAAAGAGGATCGCGTCTGTGGCATCGGGCCAACCTCCTAAACTCGCTGCAAACGCTCCAAACACTCAACTTGAAACCAGCAACACATGCAAGCGCACATTTAAAAAGGCATAAGTCATACGTGGCTAATAAATTGATTTGCTAAAGTGGATTGGAGTTCAGTGCTTTGACATATACAGGGTCTTTCAAGCTTCGTTGGGTGGAACAGGAAGGTGGAATCTTCACATAATCATTAACAAGCCCCCTTTACGGTCCAACCAGAGTCAGCTATTTTTTGCGCTTGGGAGAAATGTCTTCTGCACAGAGTTCTGCACATAGAGGATTGGAATACCCGTAGTAAAGACTTACTGAACTCCTTGGAGGCTCACTCACACTCAATACAAAGACGTCGGCTAGGAAAAAATAGAAACGCTTAAAATGCCAGTTTGAAGTCTATTATTTGCTGGACACGAGCATATATTGATTGCATCGCAGTCGCCTGGTCAGCCAGAAGATTCAGAAAAGCAAATTGCTTCAACAAATACGAGTACTTGTACTCCCAAAGAGAGGATGGTGAAGGGATGGGAGAAGGACGGAGGGGATGTTGACGGCAGAAGGAAATCACATGGTAAAATGCACACTTCGAAACCGAAACGCAAAAAGCAATCGAACCTCCGGTTCGGGGAGAGAAGATGTGTTGGTTTTCAAAACCCGTTTGCAGTCAGTCTACGAGTAGTCCAGCTTTGGGAGTCCGAACAAAGTATTCGGTGTCTTGGCGGCTTCGTGTAGTGCAGCATTTAGCGTCTTGATCGGTTTATCACCGATTAATTAGAGTTTGATAAATACGCGCACGCCGTGAGTAAATAAATCATGGCAGCAAGCAGAATGTAGCGCAGCAGACCCAGCAAAATACGAGTACTGCTAGATGGGAAACGAGCCCTAAAATGAAAGCCTAAGATTTGCATATCCATCCATCCGTTTAAAAAAAGTAGCAGTCAAATGTAGAGGCAAACATGTTTTAATTTTGCGCGTTTTTCTTTTTGATTTTTCACTGCATTTAGCATTTTGTTTTGGGCTGTGGTTGCTTTTGACCTTTCCCTCACAAATAGCAGCTTTTGAAACTGTGGGCGACGGAGAATATAAAGGTGGTGTGGGGTCGCTTGTGCAAAAGTACAGAAATATCTTTGAACATTTTTCTGTGGGAGCATTAATTATGAAAGAACTTTCGTTGAGATGCGCTTGATGGCCACGATGAGATGGCGACAGCGACAGCGGTCCTGATGAGCAAGGGCTTTGTGAATGCCAATTTGATGTTGCTTTTTTCGGTTTGGATTTAGAAAGGGGTTAGACGGAGCTCTTTTGGTGGACTCTTTTGACCCCAAGGTGCTTTTGCATTATGCGCTTGGCGAATGCGAAAAATAATGACATTTTTGTTGTTCAATTTTTCACACTGAAGGACCGCTTTGAGTAGGTATGAAGGATGAAGGGTTTCGCATAGGGAGTGTGTTGCACCCCTTTTTTTGCATAGATTTTATTGTGGGACTTTTAAATTATATATTTAGTGCTGGAAATATTGTTGTTAGATCTACTGGACTAGTTTTCCCAAAGCCGTTTAATCTTCCTGAATACCCGACTCTTGTTTTTCGGAAACTTCTGAAGTACACTAAAACTATTTTTATTTTTGTGTGCTGACTTGTGCGCTTTTAATTTGGCTTTCACTGCCAAATTTACGAGACTATGCATTGGAGAACATTTTATGGTTTATTGCCCCAAGATCTGCCACCGCTAAGCAGCAAACAACAGAAGCTTTGGATGGAGGTTATTATTATACTGCGACTACTTGGCACCATGATTGCTACCTTTTTGCTGCATTCGGATTGCATTTGTTGGGCGACGTCTTTTATTCTTGCCCATGGCAGTGGCAAAATTGTTGACCACTTTCTGCTTGGCAGCGTTTTTCACTCTACTTCAGTCCTGACCATACACTTGCCTGCTCTACCCATTCTACCCATGCCACTCTTTCTCCTTTTTCAGTTTTTGTCGCATTAAAATTGCTCTCAAGATATCTTCGTTACGGAATGAATGACTACTTGGGGCGGGCTGACTGGTGAGTTTCTCTTGCGTTGGACTCAAAGTATTTGCGGTTTTCTCTTCACATCCTCTTGCACAATTATCCTGGTTTCAATATGACTGCTTCATAAACAAAGACCAGGTCCGACATCTCCTGGATGTCTCGCATTGAGAAAGGGCCGGGCCAAGGAATTGTGCACAAAACATTATTATTATTTCTGCTATTTGTTTCTTGAGGAATTTTTAGTTGCTTCTTGTAGTTTATCAGTCTGTGGGGTAGGGGATTGGGTTAAACTCCTCGAGGCCTCAGTGTGCCTTTTGCATTTTCTGTGCTGGTATGTAGCCACAAGAGAAGGAAATTATTTTTCCAAATTTATTTGCCGAGTAGTGCATAGTTAGGATATCTTTTAACTTTTATACGTATCCATGAGATTTCTGGAAAATATCCCAAAAAAAAGTGTATGTAAAGTATTTATTATACCGGTTATTTGAGATAGTAATTTGTGCACTTTTCTCCTTTTTGACAGTGCAAATTCTTACTTGTATCAAAAACTTTGAAAACAAATTTCTAGCGAAGGTAAGAAGGTAGGGCCAAAGAAAATATAATAATTGTTATATTGTCTTTGGTCATATGCTCTGTGCATAGGAAAGAAATTTCGGGCAGCGCTGTCGGCACACCTACAGCGTACAATACCAAGATGCTGCATGAGGAACAAATAGGCATTCCATTTTCGTTTGACGCTTCTTGGTACGGGCGCGTGGGGCTATTTCTTCAATTCTCTTTTAGGCTCTGAAATGCTACTGGCTTCGTCAATGCTAAAGTCTTTGGAGTGGCACAGTGGGGAATCAGCCGAAAAGGGGTTGCACAGGTCAAAAAATGTTATGAGCTCTCTGGAATAAGTGAATATACGCTTCTAAAAGAGAATTTTCCAGAGAATATGAGATATAAGCACTTAAAGTTGGAAATTTTTTCAGTGTGAAACAATGTATTGAACTCTTATTCGATTATTAATTTAGCCAGCTGATATGGGCAAAGGCCCCATTATGCGAAAGCATTCATATGCATGCGCAGAGAAAGGGGCATAGCCGAAAAGAGAATTGAAAGCCCGCGCGCTCCCTCTGTACATATGTATGTATAACGTAGCGATAAGACCCGTACTAAATATGCATGTAAAGAGTTCTTCTGCTGTTTCTGATGGAGTTATCAGAACGTACTATCTTTTTTTTTATTTTAAATAACCAAACGAAACCATTGGGTTTTCGATAGTCAATTTAAAAGTATCCTGCAGCAATATTAATTTTAAATTGGCTTAATTTGCACAAAGTGCCTCCCTTTAATCACCCTAAATAGCCGAAGGCAGAACACGCAGAGAACTTTCACTTGCCATTTTTCAAACAATCAAATCATTACGACTGTCACTCATACATATGTACCCCTCCTTCCCGGAGATGGGCACCGGCAGGGCAGCCCTTGCTGTTTTTACGCACACGCGTTGACATTTATCAAAATTTCAACTGTCATTTAATGGATTCATGTTGCCTGTTTAATTTTTGAACTTCTTTGCCGAAACACGCAATTGAACATTCATAAACCACGACTCTGGAAACGCCTCTACTTGTGACTTTACCTCCATTACCGAAACCCGCAAAAGTACACGAAGTAACAGTAATAACCCAAATTTTCGAGATTCGCAAGCGTATATATTTGCGTGGATGAGAAGGGAGCGAGCGTTTTCCAGGGGGTATGGTACGCATCCAGCAACACCCGCAAGCCACTTGCCAATTTTCTCACTGGCGAAATTTTCCAGAAGAAAGCACTCAGCAGGGACACG